AGAATAAAAACTATTGTCTTTGATTAGTTGTTTAGTTTGTACGTTTATGGATGATTTTTCTCTCATTTTTAAATCATTTCTCGTAAACTTAAAAAATATATACATACATAAGTGAACAATATCGTTTTCCATTAGATCCTCATCAAGCTTTACTCTAATATACAGTAGTATATATATGGAATTATTAAACCTTGGACCAAATCGCCAGGCGAAACGTTGGATTAACTTCAAATTCTTTCACTGGGTTTTTATAAATATATTCCTTCTCTTTAATGTCAATCAAGGTAGTTTATGATAAAAGTGGAATAGATTACATAAACCAACATAATAAGTGAAAAGTACAAATTGATAGTGTAAAGACAATTGTACTAGTTGTTACATAATGGGAAATAGGTCAATGAGTTGAAAAAAATATGGAAGCTGAAATAATATTCATAAAAACTATAAGATTTTGTAATAAGAAGTGTGCAGATAATTGAACAATGAAGCGTATATGTAAGGAAAAAATAGATGGGAGGGGGTGAAGAAAAACAAATAATAATAAAACCATTTATTAAGGCGAAGGGTGAGATAAAGGTATTGCAAATTTCTTATGAATTTAAAGACTTGAACTGTTAGCTCGAATTCTTATAGCTTCTACTATGTCACTTACACATAGCAGAACCTATATTGTTCGTTTATATACGTTGTTTTAATTAACAATATGGGAATTTTATTAGCATTGGTTGATTTGCGAGCAGTCTGCTTGGTTCTTACCATTCCGAAAAACTGAGAGATGATAGCAAATAATGTTTAAAATATATATAATTTAGTCTGTCTTACATTTTGAGTATCCAGAATATAAAAAGCAATAAGTTTGTCTTCTTCTACAATTTTACAAATAATTATTTGACATGGGATTTTGTGGAGATTGTAGTAATTTCAACCGTTGAGATCATGAGTCAATTGAAGCTAGACCACCATGGGAAACCTGGAAGCATTGGACGGCCGTCTCGTTCTAGTATGGGACTCCTCAGCAGTAAGCATCAACGACCCCACCTCGCTGCATTCGAACCCAGAACCTATCACTGCTGAGGAGCCCCACAATAGAACGAAACGGCCGTCCAGTGCTTCTAGGTTTTCCATGGTGGTCTAGCTTCAATTGACTCATGATCTCAACTGTTTAAATGCTTTATTTCATTTATATTTATGTAAATAACATTGAAAATCCACATTGCAAATTTTTAAAGGAATAATCAATTATTTCAATTATCTAAAATAGAAAATTAAGCGGTAAAGAAATTTATTTCTTTAAATGTAGACACATTTATGACTTATGATAAGCAAGAAAACGAAGTAAGAAGTAAGATGAATATTTTATTCCTTACACTTTTGTATTTATATATACAAAACTAGTGATTTTTCCCCCTTTTATTTACCACCAATGACAAATGCCATGGAAATAAAAGTAAACTTTTAAAATTGTAGTTTGAAAATTTAACTTTTTGGTTTAGAAATTAATTAAATTATTTATGATAATCTTAATCAATTGTATGAAACTAATAACTGAAGGTTATAGAATTGTTTCCTGAATAATGGCCTGGTTTTATAATATTTGATAGATTGGTTGAAGTTAGACATTAACACCGTTGGATGCCAGCTTAGTGGTCTAGAGGTTAAGCGTTAGTGAGCGAGATTGATAAATCCTGAGTTCGGATCTTGCAAGGCGGGATCGTGAATGAGCATTGCTGAGGAGTATCATACCAGGACAAAACGGCCATCCAGTGCTTCCAAATTTCACATGGTGGTCTAACTTCAATAAATTTATGAATTCAACTATAAAATTTATCATATGAATTGTTTCGGAATGAGATAATCATAATCTATTGTTTAAAAAGTTGCAATGAAAAATGGATTACTAGAAGTCAGTTATAAATTAACCGACCTTACATATAAAATTGTTTCAGCTGAATGTTTACATCCACTTCAATCCCTGATGTTGTTAGTCAAACAGACAAGACATTGATCAGTTTTCATCATATAGTCTCTGTACATCCTATTATCAAAAATGAAACAAACTAATATACGGTTGAACGGAAATCAATTAGTGTTAATGTACATTATTTTTAGCAAAACTTAAATATCCTGCCTTCTATTTCGCAAAAGGTCGTGGCAATGCACTACTGTGGGACTGAAAACTAAGAAAAACTATGTAAAAAGTATCAACTTTTAATGATTTTTATTAGATATCAGTTCGTCACAAAGGTTAACAAACTACCTACCTTAATGAAGAGTTTATAATAAGTAGATATAAGTATCTCATTGTTGACAGATTTTATCTTTTATTTTATATTCCTTCCTCGGTTGATTAATATAAGAGGGATTATTTAAAGATTGTTATTTATAACATGATCTAAAATATATACAGAGGTTATCAGTATCCAGCAAACAGATGCTTCTTTAAATTGTTTTAATTGATTTGTCAATCTGTGTATTTATTAAAGTGTAATTATGTAGAAACGATAACGATAATGTAAAATATTGTACAAACTCCTTTATTTTATAGTCAGCGTCATTCTAAACTAATCAATGAGATTTTCAATCCTTCACTTTTATTTTGTTTAAAGTGGATAGTTTTGAGCTTCAGTATCCCTGCTACATAAAAAATGACTTGTGAGGATAGTAACTCTTTACCAATATTATTACTAATAATTGTGGTATAAGTAATAATAATAGTTAGGAGGAGTAGTAGTATTAGTATAGTTATTACTTGCTCTTATACTGGCCAATTAAGTCTGCACTAAATCTATCGTTTTGTTCTATCTTAAGTTAGAAAAAATATAAAAAAATAACTTCATTCAATCATAATTTCTGTTTCAATGGATTTTGACTTGAAGTTCTTTCTCTATCCTTTGTACTTATCAGTTTATTTAAGTTCATACAAGTGGACAATCTTGATGTTCTCAGTGGAGTTTAACTGGTCTAAATAAAATGAAGTATTTCTTGGTTATTTACATGAATTTCTTATGACAGTGATCTATAGAACATCAATAACAATTACTTCGTACATGATTAGTATGAATTTGTGAAAATTGTTGAATTTTATTAAGGCTAAAAGTCAATTTAAGTTAGATAACTATTGAAAACTTGAAAACATGGGATTTCCGTTTCGTTTCCATATGGGACTCATCAGAACTGTTCCTTCATGACTCCGCCGAGAAGGATCGAACTCAGAACCATGGATTAACTGAAGTTAAACTTGTACACCACTTGATCTCGGCCTCGTAGTCTACAGTTTAGGTGTAAACGCACGAGATTGAAAGTTCTTGGTTCTATCTTCAGTGGCGTGGTCATGGATGCGCACTCTGAACATTATTAAAGCATTACAGCACATCGTGATAAGCCAATGAAAAGTGAGTACCTACTTCCAATTAGATTATCTGAAGTTTAAGTGGCAAATCGTAAACCAAGAACTTAATCAAATTTTTGGTTTATGAAAAATTGTTCAACCCCCCGTAAAATCTGGAACCAATATAGTCCTATTCAATGGCCGAACGATTTACATATCTTGACAGTGATTACTTGTGAGTTTAGGTAAGAATAAACTTAATGAGTGACAAATTAAAAAAATATTCATTCTATGAGTTAATTGACATGATTATAATTCTGGATGAAAACCAGTTTTGTCTAAAATTACTTGGATTTTCCTTCAAAGTAATGAATTCTAACAAAACGTATTGTCACTTATAACTCTATTTCAATATGTAGTAACATTAATTGAGATACAGGACTGATGACCAAAGTTTCTGTACAAATTGACTCTCTTTGTATTGACTTTTTTATAATTAAGTATCACTTACAACTAATAACTTATTCGTCAATCATTGTTAGACCAACCTATTTTGTAATATATGCTGGTAGGTAACTAAATTAACTATTAACTACTGTTTCAAATAAACAGCCTACTTATTAACAATGACATAATCTCATTTATTATCAAAAAAAGGTTATTCATTTTCATTTTGTAAATAAAAGTTATTTCTAATCTGACCAACACAATTTGTTGGACTAAACTAAGAAGCCAAACAAAATATGGTACTTAAATCCGATTTGTAACATGTATTTATGTAGATTTGTGAAAATACTTTCTCATCTACCAATATGACAGTGGTTTAATTCCGAATGAAACGTGCTAAAATTGGCAACTATAAATATGTGTAGGTTGAAATAATCAGCTATGCATCAAGTTTATTACATCAGAGCATATGATAATACTTGGCTGGTCACAATTAGGCTGACTGAGATAGATTTGTATAGCGTAATAAGAAGACAAAAATTGTCAGGACTACGTGATATATTAATTCAATACATTTAGAACAATCTGATCACACATATACTTATTAAAAACATTTATAACTGGAAAAGCTAAAGGTCAGTCAGAGAAATTGGAGGTAAGAGGAAACAAAGATAATGAAGTAAATAATATGAAAATAGTGTGGAACGCACCACGCTGGACAATAAAACAATATTACCCTAAACCTAAATAATGTTTTATTATCCAGCGTGGTAAGTTCCACATTATTTTTTTTACCCTACTTTCTTTATCTTTGTTTCCTCTTACTTAACCTTAAAGTAAATGGCTCGCCACGTCTATCTTCCATCAATTCATGACACTTCACAACCGTCGTCTATGACTAACGGGAATAACTTTTCAACTTTTGATCCAGATGAACTCTATCTGTTAAAACTTCTTTTTTAAAATGTTTGCAAGGATTCTTTTCGAATCTAGTCCTTTATAAGCAAATGATTATTATGGTTATTACTTATCACAGTGATCAATAGAACTAATGTGTAGCACCTCGATTACCGATAAACTTAGTAGTATTTGGACATGCTCAAACATGTCCTGATCATCTCAATCGATGAATGATTTTCTTTTAAACCATTTTATGTCAAAAAGATTATAATATAGTTAGATCAAATTCATTTATTGGGTGACTGTTTCTTTTTTTTAATTTAAGGTTATGTATTTCAATCAAATGTGGACAGATTATTTGGTCAGTCTGCCAATGAAAAGTACACTGCCTTTTTTATGCAACATATAAAAAGTAAATCATATCAAAATGTAAATAATCCATTATCTAATGATGACAAATTACTATACGAAAATGAACGACCATTTCCAAGTCATGTTTATCCATCTACTCCATCGGAGATCAGTGTTGAATATATTTGTTTTATAATTAGTTTGTTTATGTTAACTATTCATTATCCTGCACCATTTTATTTCACAAGTCGTATATTTTCTCTACTTTTTTCGATGTATATAGCACTGACTAGTGTGTACTTATTAGTCGACGTTGAAACAGTAGCAGTTTTGTATAAATTAAATACAGTTGGTATACGTGATCCTGGTGGATCATTAGTTGTTAATATTGATACAAATTTAAAGTATATAACATCATGGTATTGTGTACTTCTGAGTGCAGCTAGTCTACCGGCAGTGATTATTTGTCTTATGGCTATTTATGCATATGGTGAAACTAAATTTAAAGAAGCTGTAACCAATTATGCTCAGCTGTTAATTGCCGGAGAAATTCCATCAATAAATGGATGCTCAAGCAATAAAATAACTACTCGTGGTAATTTAATAAAAGGTGTAGATTATGATGCAACTAATCATAATCCAGATTCTAATGGTACTATTGAAACTATGATTGGTGAACAGGTTAATCTAGAACCAAATTATCAAGAATCTATCATCAATTTACCTATTACTCTTGCGATTACAACAAAGCATTGGCATCCACCTCTGTTAAACCGACGGAATGGTCAGCTTCCTAAAAGATCTAATACTCCTCTACCATATGGTCAATCGCAAAATAATGGAAGTGAAATATCAACTTCATTAAAACGCAATCGTGGCATTCCATTATCCACAAGTACAGAACTAACTAATTCCGTTCATACACTTAATGAGACAACCAATGCTTCATCGAAGTCAACACAGACTAGATGGTCTCGTGTTGGATTGAACGTCATAGCGACTGTTACCTTTGTATGGATTTTAACAACTCGTATCTGTTTAATGGGTTCAATATTAAAATGTTATTGGAAAACTGGTCTCGACATCGCGTTAGCAGATACTATCTTAACACTATTGTATATGATATGTTGGCTTATCCTGTGGTTTGGTTTAAGTGTTAAAACTGCTTGGCGATTTCGTTTGTTACATAATAACAATTACTTCAGTTCAATTGGTCAAAGAGAAAGTTATCTACAAAAAGGTATTTTCCCTAATGGATGTGATAATCAAACATTTGGATCTCCAGAACTGCAGCAACAACAAATACAAATGAATGTGAATGGTGCTTATCCGAATTTATGGCCATATGTTTCTTATCCACCTTGGATTGTACCAGGAACTGTGATAACTGCAGGTTTACCTGTAGGCACAGCTGGTGATGTTCAACAAACGAACAATGTAGTTAACGGATTACCGGTAGGTGCGGGTAGTGGAGGCGATTCACTTTATGGATTCTTCCCAGATTTAGCTAACCAGACACAAAATCAATCGGGCGACATGACAAATCCATATCATACACATTCACGTTGCATTTCTCTACCATCCGGACCACCAACTTTATCCGAAGAATCAGACATAACAGCAAATCAACAGGAACGAAATGATTGCATTAGTAACAACAAATATTTTAGACCTGTTACAACACCTAGCCTCGCTGGTTCGACTTATTTGAATGATAATCAACAAGCATCGATGGAACTGCACCAGCCATATACAACTCCGCAAAATAATCTACCACGAAGTCAGACAATACAGGAAATTGCATATTCTGATGCTTATGAACAGTTCTCAGGACAGAATTCTAGTAAAAATAGAGGCATTACTAATAATTCTTCTCATTTAAATAATCAGAGACATGGAGTTTCACCAATGGTCCCAGAACCAACATATGCTACATTAGCAACGTTGTCGAAACAGTCCATACAAAATAATGGTTTTAGACCGAATTCTGTAACACCACTTGATTCACATAATAAGGGCAAAGTATCACCAACAAATATTTCACGTAACATTTCATATCGACGCCCATGTACTCGGGTTACTTTTCAAGATATCGACAATAACTTCTCCGGGTCGAGAGCCGTAATTAATGATGGAGCGACAGGAAGTAGTGACAGTGGAGTATGTACTAATGGTCATGGTTCAAGTATTCAACAAAATGGTAATTACCCAGAGAAACAATATTCAAAAGGGAAAATTAAACCAGAATTATTTAGTATGTTTGAACAAGATGTATATAAAACACCTGGTATACAATCTGCTACTGATAGGAATTATTCAACTGCACATATAAGGAATGATAATATGCTAGAAAATAGTCGTAACAATACGAGTAACAAGAATAATGATGTTGAAATATCAACCGATATGACAAGCTTCGCTATGAAACGTAATCACAAACCAGAGGAATGCATTTCTTATGGTAATCATCATGATGCTACTGATAATCTTCAAAGGCATCCACATTATCCACATCAAATAGATCCCGATGATCGTTTATGCAGTCAAGTGTGATTCATGTTTTTCATTCAGACACAAATGCATACTTATTCACATAAACAGTTTACTTACTCTCACTTAACGTATAATTTCGTGTAATTAAAACTGATTTTCATTATTAGGTCCATATTCTTTCCGATCACCATAAAAATTTGATTTGTGTAGATTATTCTCCCTCCGTTTGCGTCTATATATGTATGCATTCTTCTGTGTTAAAAATATGCTCTATTATAACATTACATACTCATCTCATTTTTTGCAATCACTTAAACAAATATATATTCCTTACATAATTATATAAACATATCGTCATCACATCTGTCGAAAATTCCCAGAGGTCATCACAAATCGTGTGGAAACAATTATATTTCGTAAATATGCACTATAGTGTAAGGATATAATCATTATCATTTATTATCTAATGTAAATCATGATTATATACATGTGGGTGTTCATCACGTTGTTATCTTAACTTGTGTATTTTATATTTGTTTGTTTGTCTATTTGTTGACTCATTCATTCTTTACCTATCACTTCAATATTGTACATATTCAGCACATTTTCTCTCATTTTATTTAAGATAATTTCTATTCTAATAATTATTAAGTACAAGACATCTGATTACTAACTATCATAAAAATGTAATGAATCTAAAATTTAAACAATTACTGATATTTAATGGAGAGGTTTTGTGAAAAGTGGTTTAATATGCAAATAATAATCGTCTTAGGTTAACTGTGGTTATGATAATACTGAGAACCAAAAAGCATTGGACAAATACTTCGTCCTAGCATTAGTTGAGTTAAGCATTATATCACAAATTGACCGAAATTAAAAACGTTTACTAGTGGGCTCTATCTCAGTGAACTTAAAGTCAAGAGCAAAGACAGTTGTAAGTATATATATATATATATATATATTCTTGAGTAAGTGAGACTTTCAGTCTTGTCATCTTGAGAACGGGAGAAACATTCTCCTTGAGTTGAATATAAAAAAATAACCAGAAGACTTGATTGAACTAGTGAAGTCGTTTAATACTAAAAGGTTTGCGTTACAAGTGAATGCCTACTGATCTACTTATTTTAGAGAGATATTTATCGAGAAGAGAAAGGTGACAAACAGAAGAGGTTAACAAGGGTTTTCACTACTCGTTAAAACATTTATCCTTACACAAGTATATCATACACATGAAGTCAAATAAAACGTGAATTTATCATCAGAAGTAAATCACAAAAAATAATTCTCAATACTGATAGTATTTAGTTACAGAAATAATCTTGTGTCAATGGATGTAATTGCTAGTAGATAATATAACAAGTACACACTCAAGCATATTTCCATGTTTACTTTTAACTTAATTGTTTCAGAGACTTATTTCTCGTCTATAAAATCAAATATTGTAGAATGGATTGATCTAAGTTTACTATATATACACAAGTTTTATAAATGTAATCTTATTAAGAATATTTAAAAAAAAGTAAAACCCAACCCATTGACTGGGATAACCACTAATTGCCTTCCACAATTATAAATAAGAACAAAATAGGAAAGTTGTTGATAAGACTTCTCACCAATGAGCATCCACGATCCCGCGCCGCAAGATTCAAACCCAGGATGTATCAGTCTCGCACGCGAACGCCTAACCTCTAGACAACTGAGACAACCGGGATCTAACAGTGTCAATTTCTAATTTCAACCAATCCATGAATAAATATTTTGTGGCGTCTACAGAAATTATTTAACTGGAGAAAGGATAGTATATTAATACATCAACAATTCGTTACAATACGAATAGAGGAAGGTAATACTAAGTAAAATTAAGAGCGAAACACTTGATTGCATACAAAAAACTAATATGAGAAATGTGAAATTATATAAAAAAGAATATTACTGATAATATGTTAAGGCCAAGTTAATGACGAAATCGGGATATTTCTTTTGTATACAGTGTACTTACTTCACTTTATACACACTGGAAAATTCTTTCTTTTTAACAACTTGATGTTTAATATGCCTTGATAGAATATGAAGACTCTATGAACAGTTTCAGAATTATTATAAGCGTTAGTCGGATAAATAAAGTAGATCAATGATTTATAAATCGACTTTTTAAATATGTATCTTCAATCCACGTAGAACTATGTTACAATGTGTTGCCTATTCTGTGTTGTAATATACCCTGTTCCATAGTAACGTATGAGTTAACAAATACACAAAGAGGTAATACAATAATGAAATTTATCTTCCATACACACAGGAAACAGCTATTTGATTGTTTATCAATTCAACATGTATATCTTTAAAAAAAAAGATTGTTGGGAAGAGGCTTTATGAATTATTTATTACATATTCTATTTGTATACACTTTAGAAATATGAATGTGAAGTGATACTGTCTTTAAAAAGGGCTTCTGCTTATGAAACATTATACTAGTAATCATATCTAGCTTTAGTTCAACTAATTGAATGTATAAAAATTCAGTTTTACAATCATACAACTATTAAATAAAAGCGTTGTAATCATTATTATTTATTTATTTATTTATTATTAGCTTTATTCAATATTATATTTTTGGTACAAGATAAAATTCTCAGCACAAAGTATTTCAACAAGTTTCCTTTTCTTATTTCTTGATCGATCCTGATGATAAATATTGAGTGATCACCAAAAGTCAACATCTGAATAATATTCATTCTTTTCAATGCATATTGCCAACCATCGTGATATCACCGATTGTAAATTTTTGTAGCTTGTACAACGAAAAGTTGTAAATTTTTCAAAAAGGCACCTAAATAAATTATGCAATTAATTGACATAATGATCTGTTAAAACAAGTAAAGAAACAGATTACTTGCTGAAATATCTAGATGATAGGAACAGGTAGCCCAGATATTCAAGCAAATACAAATTAAACATATGTGGAAATTTAATCAGTTTCACAGTAATCCTTCCTAAAACTTACTTGAAAAGTTTTTCAACAATCTTATTTAAATGCTTCTATGCTATTTTTAATCTCATCAAAATTTTATTCATTCTGTTAGTTAGCATAATGAAAAAAATACCTGGATAAAGAAAGTTCGAAAAATATATTTTATAGTATAATAACACTTAACAGAACACGATTAAAAGTAAGTGAATATCTCGAATCTTCTAGTCTATCATCTTTCGACTGTAAATATCCCGACTAGAATAGAACAGTTTAAAAATAAGTGGGATTTTCCAAACAAAGATGGATAGTGGCTAACAATAGAATCCAGGACGCACGTTTCGTCCTATCTAGGATGGATGTACCTGCATTGCAGAGTTAATGTCCACTCTAGGACTAGAACCCATTATAGTTCGCTTCAAACGCCATCGTCTTATTCTCTTACCTACTGAGTCCTGATATCCACTAGCTTATGCAATTAGGTGAAGTTTAGATTCGCTTGGTATTGTTTACTTGAATCTTGGATAAAGCGATGATGTTTGAAGTGAACGGTACTGGGTTCGAGTTGCAGATTGAACATCAACTCTGAGATGCAGGTACATCCAGCTGATGAGTCCTATATAGAATGAAACGCTTCCTGGATTCCACTGCTAGTCTCCATCCATCTTTGCTTATATAGTTTATGACCAAAGGCAATATCGGGGTAATACGTAAAGTATGTACATTTGTCAATAAGAGACTGATCAATTGCGGTCCTAAACATCAATGGGAAGATTCAAATAAACAATATCAAGTGAATTTAAGTTAAACAATGTTGACAACAGAAAATGGTTACATGTATCTTTATTTATGTTACTACTTAGTATTTAAAAAAAGATATTACACTGTTAAGAAAATTAAACTGAAAGATTCTTAGAAAAGAAATTCATTGAACACGTTCACTTTACACATTATATTATAAGGTAAGTTTACAAATGATCTGGAAAAAGCAATGATTGATGATGAATTGAGTTGATTTTCTCTTGAATGTTCTCCCTGAAAAAATGAAACGTATGTATGGATTATTTTACATCAAATACTGAGTTGAATGCATAGACTTTAAGCTAACATTTACTGACCATATTATGTGCATTATTCAATTTTTTAAATAACAGAATCTATATGAAATTGAAATCATGAGTCAATGGAAGCTAGACCAGGTCTGTTGTGAGATATCAGCTCACTGAAGACAATGGTATACGGTGGCGCAACTTCGTGGACTGGTTGAAGTTAGACATTAACACCACTGGATGCCGGCTCAGTGGTCTAGTTGGTTAAGCGCTTGGCGCGAGGCTGATAGATCCTGAGTTCGAATCTCGCGTGGTGCGGGATCATGGATGAGCACCGCTGAGGAGTCCTATAATAGGACGAAACGGCCGTCCAGTGCTTCCAGGTTTTCCATGGTGGTCTAGATTCAACTGACTCATGATTTCAACCTGTGAAATTTCTAAAATCTCCACAAACCCCTTCAGATTCTATATGAGTTGACCCCAAATATAGTTCATATTGTTTCTAGTTTTGTTAAGGTTAAGGCTTTGAACTAATAGTGATTACTACCAGATAGAATTTTGTAGTTACATCGTTATTACTATTATTACTATAATTATGTTTAATATATGAACGAACACTGAACAAACATGTTTTCATCGATTTTTTTTTCTGTTTTCCTCTACATGTACCTTAAACAAAATAAAAGAACAAATAAAAGCAATGAGCTAATTTTTTTTCTTACGAAAACAACTTAAACCTGTTTAAACTTGTATCTGTATTATACTACTTACATTAAATTAAAGCATCCTTATGAAAGAAATAAAAATAATCATTTATTGTCCTTATGAGAGAATTAAAAACAATTATGAATCTCTTATGAAATGAAAACTTTTTATTGATACTTGAATATTATTTATGTTTCATTTTACAATTTAATAAGCGGAATTATACATGAATAAACCACTTTATATTTGAATAAGTATGAGAATATATATTTTTTTTTAAACAAAATATACATTACTACTCTTAAATGTCATTGTCATATAAGTAGAATTAAATCTACCTTGAATAATTATTTATAATGACAATATCATTTAATCTTATTTTAGTTGTTTTAAATAGATTTCAGCGGAATTATATGTTGATTGACGACTTCTGTAAGATGTCAGTTGAAATTTACAGTTATGAGGTGATTTGTCAATAAAATACACATGAACACTTTGAACATAAATAAACAATATTAAAGAATGAAAACGTAGTTCATAAGTAAAACAAAAGGTTAAGGTGATTAATAAAAGTAAATAAGTAATGCTTGTAACGATGTATTCACTTTTCATTAACAAGTTGCACCCAAATGCCCTGGTAGGGCCGAAGTTGAGGACAGTCAGCTCTCCCTCTCGAAATGCTTTCATATGGCCATGTGTATACAACTACTGCCAGGGAAGTCCTAATCACTGGCTTCTCTCGGCATTATTGTTGTTTACGAAATTGTAAGAATAAAAATGGAATGTCCGACCCTTTAACCGGGTTGGTAGATACGGAGGGAAGTTGTAAAACTCTGATTCCAAGCCAATGGTGAACATGAGCTCCAGAATCCTAAAAGAACAAATGTCGTATGTACTCGTGGTTGATCACTGGCTACCATGGGACTGGACCTCCTGACGTTGCTCCATTGCCCTGTGGATTAGACCTTTAGATCTAAGGTTCGGGATGTGGCCCCCCTTAGAAACCCAACCTGCTTCAGTTTGGGCACCCAGGCAGTATCCCAGCCCTTACAT